TCATTTCATATTGTCATTTTCATTTATATTGTCACCGCTTTATTAATCAATCTGTTACCTGTTGTCAATTGCGCGTCAAGTTTGTTTGCCATTTGTAAACCGGCCTGCCGCTGGCCTCAACCTTTCTAGTAACCGCTGTGCCATACGCTATGGAACGTGTCGTGCAAAGGTCACGGCGGCACCCCTGAGGCGGCCGCTGCCCGTACGTTTAGGAGCCCATTGTCGTGACGTCATGACTGTGAGCATTTTTTTTTTTTTTTTTTTTTTTTTATTTTTTTTTTAATTTTGTCTTCCCGGCATGCCTAAGGCAACCGCCAGGGAAGGGGAAATTACTAAGGCTGGCAATGAGCCAGATCTTTCGTTTTACTTTACTTTACTGTCAGCTATTTAATTCTGACCCAAGCAAGAGAGAGAAGCAAACTTTACTTTAATTCGGCTCATGTGGCGTCCGATTAACAAGGCAAGGGTGTCCAGAAAGGGGTAGAATATTCATACTTGCTGCTGTAAATCTTGCTGCTGATGGTGTGAGGTGTTGCAATGTGTGATGTTTGTTGTGGGATGTATTTACCAGGAAAAGTCCTAACTAGAAAAAACCTGGTGCCTAAGTCAAGGGGCAAAAACTGTCGAGTACAGTAAAAATCCCCGCAATAGTTACGTTACGTTATATCTCTAATGTGGACAGTGAAAGTGTGATTGCGCAGGCTGTTCGCAGGGATCGGCCAAAATAAAAACCGGCCTACCGAGTGAGACAGCCAGCGGGTTATGGCAGCCGGTGTGACCCGGGTGCCCCAGTCATGTCCCGCCCGTCTCAGGGGTACAACTTTGACTGGAATTTGGTGGCTCTGGAGGAGTAGCCGTGAGGCATAGCTCGACTCCTAGGCAGCGATGTTGGTAGGGCTAGTGGTTACCCGTTGGAGGAATTCTCTGAAGGAAGATACGGCGTCCGTGGTGAGGGGGTCCGTCAAAATAGAAGCCAGCCACGGCTGCCCTGTACGCTTTGGATTCTGGGCGAAGGTCAAGGTCGTATAGTCGGATTTCATGGTCAAACCAGTAGAGGGTGGAGGGAGGGTAGGAAAGTCGCCTGCCGCTGGCGTACTCAAACTTCAGCGACCCGATGTCAGGTGGAGGGATCTCACCCCTGGGACGTCTCTTCGGGATCAGGTCTGGATCGGGATCGTCGGTGTCGTTTCGGGGGCTGTCAGGCTGGAAGCTCGCCGTGTAGCCTCGGGTGAACGGCCTGCTTCGAGAGCAGCCGAAGTCGTCGGGGTCCGTGGTTGGTGTCGGTGAGTCGGGGGTGTCAGTCTGGACTTCGGCAGAGACCAGTCGGGCGGGTCGAGTTTGAGAGGTCGAGTCGAAGGTGGTCAGTTTGGTCGTTTGGGTGCTGGCGTCGGTCGTCTGAGAGCTGGCTGTCTCGGTCTGGGTCTGAACAGGGACTGCGGTCGCCTTAGGGGCCATGACCTCACCATCTGTCTGGACAGAGGCGTCTGTGCGAGCCGGAGGGGGCTGCATCGTTCGGTGCTGACTCTCAAGTGGAGGCCAAGCTGTGGAGTTGAGCGGCGGGGGTTGGAATGGCGCTCGCTCTCGAGTGTCTCGTTTGGTGGTTTTCCAGACGGGGCAGCTGTTTCGGTCCCATGCTGGGTGTGGACCAGAGCAGAGAGGGCACTTTGGGACCGAGGTACAGTCACCTGTGGGGTGGCTGTCCCTGGCAGAGCACTGCCCGCAGACTGTCTCTTTTCGTCGGCAAGAGCGCATGGAGTGGCCTAGCTTCCAGCACCTACGGCATTGCCTTGGCAGCTGGATCCAGGGTCGAACAGGGACGGAGAGGTACCCGCAGAGGAGCTTTCTTGGGAGATCGAGTCCTTTAAAGCGAAGTCGAATCAGGGGGTTTGGAGTTCGGTCCTTGGATTTGAGCCTCTGCACCTCGATAACACCCTGCGGGGCTAGTTCGGTGAGGAGCTCTTCGTCAGAGAGGTCGCTGAGGTCCGGACAGTGAATGAGACCCTGCGATGACATCAGGTTGGTTGCAAGAACAGCCGAAACAGGTTTTCCGAGCATGGTTTGGCAGGAGAGAAGGGCAGAGCTTTGGTCTTTGTTGAAGGTCGAGATGAGAATTTTGCCAGATCCGAGTTGTTTGGTTTTTTCGACTTCCGAGTCACAGATCGAGCGGATTTCCCTGATGATGGCGAACGGGTTCCCTCGCAGTGGAGTGCCATCAGGCCGGCTCATCAGGATGAGAGCGCGGCCTTCTGGTGGGTCAAGGTCGGGTGGGAGACGCGCCCCTGGAGGCGGTCCGGTCGAGTCCATGGCCATGATCGGGGTCTGTTACAGGCAAAGATAAATAGTCCGGTTCGTTATCACCGCTAGGTTTCCCCCGGACTGAGCAGTTATCCTAGATGACCTACCTACAGTCACATAGAGCAAAAAGAGCTGAAGGCTTACTCAAAGTTAGCGACCAAGGTCGTCCATGGACGACCCTGGAGCTCAGTGAGGACACCGTGCGCTAACTGACGTGAAGCGTCGAACTGGTGCGTGAATATCGAAGAATCCAAGGTTTGCGCAGGAAGTCCTGTGACTGTGAGCAAAGGTCGCGGTAGGGGCTCTCCCGGCAGCCGGACGGTGACTCATACGTTAAGCTTGTCTCTCGCCGCGCCTGCGGGCATATTGGTAGTACTAGGAACGGCCAGCATGTGACCGCGGTTTTCGGCGACATTGTCAATTCGTTTCTCGACTCTGCTGTTCGCTACAAGACAAATACACATAGAAAACGGCTCGGGCATTTGGAGAAGAGCGGCTACTCTGAGGCGAGGGAAGAACACGGAGATTCACACAAACGACCTGACTAGGTTGCACCGGCCACAGTCGACCGAGGTGGGCTTCCGCGCCCTTAAAGACGCCTCTGACTGGCCATTGCGCTGACACCCTGGTCGGACCACGGTCATTGATCGGACCCTGCCACTGGTTCGTGCTCAGGCTGCCTTAGCGGGTAGACCTGCTCGACCAGACGCCCCACTGGTGGGCGAGTGCTCGGTTCCGACTTTCACCGCCGGTCCAACAGCGTTCTGCTGGTTCCCGCCGATCCGGTTACGACACCGCAAGTGCCGTACCGACTCGGGCGTCCCAGGTGGGCGTAACGGTTACCACACCAGTTCGCGACCCCCAGGCTCTGTCAGCCGTCGTACGGCTCTCGGACGGACACTCTAATAGATCAGCCACAGATCAATAGGTTGTCACAGACCGTCCGTCCAGCCACGCGCTACCCACAGCGCAGTACGACACGGTCATGGGTGGTAAGAACTTTAGAGGGTTCTATCTCGAGAACGGTCAATATTTCCACCCTAGAGACCATGATTTTCGGAATCAGCGTGTTGAGAAGGCTCTGTGAGCCAAATTTCAGCTAAATCGGGATGGCCCGTTTCTCGCTGCGAGGGTTCTATCTCGAGAACGGTCAATATTTCCACATTAGAGACCATGATTTTCGGAATCAGCGTGCTGAGAAGGCTCTGTGAGCCAATTTTCAGCCAAATCGGGATGGCCCGGTCATGGATGGTAAGAACTTTAGAGGGTTCTATCTCGAGAACGGTCAATATTTCTACCCTAGAGACCATGATTTTCGGAATCAGCGTGCTGAGAAGGCTCTGTGAGCCAATTTTCAGCCAAATCGGGATGGCCCGGTCATGGATGGTAAGAACTTTAGAGGGTTCTATCTCGAGAACGGTCAATATTTCCACCCTAGAGACCATGATTTTCGGAATCAGCGTGCTGAGAAGGCTCTGTGAGCCAAATTTCAGCCAAATCGGGATGGCCCGGTCATGGATGGTAAGAACTTTAGAGGGTTCTATCTCAAGAACGGTCAATATTTCCACCCTAGAGACCATGATTTTCGGAATCAGCGTGCTGAGAAGGCTCTGTGAGCCAATTTTCAGCCAAATCGGGATGGCCCGGTCATGGATGGTAAGAACTTTAGAGGGTTCTATCTCGAGAACGGTCAATATTTCCACCCTAGAGACCATGATTTTCGGAATCAGCGTGCTGAGAAGGCTCTGTGAGCCAATTTTCAGCCAAATCGGGATGGCCCGGTCATGGATGGTAAGAACTTTAGAGGGTTCTATCTCGAGAACGGTCAATATTTCCACCCTAGAGACCATGATTTTCGGAATCAGCGTGCTGAGAAGGCTCTGTGAGCCAATTTTCAGCCAAATCGGGATGGCCCGGTCATGGGTGGTAAGAACTTTAGAGGGTTCTATCTCGAGAACGGTCAATATTTCCACCCTAGAGACCATGATTTTCGGAATCAGCGTGCTGAGAAGGCTCTGTGAGCCAATTTTCAGCCAAATCGGGATGGCCCGTTTCTCGCTGCTGGACTCGCTGCGAGGGTTCTATCTCGAGAACGGTCAATATTTCCACCCAAGAGACCATGATTTTCGGAATCAGCGTGCTGAGAAGGCTCTGTGAGCCAATTTTCAGCCAAAGCGGGATGGCCCGGTCATGGATGGTAAGAACTTTAGAGGGTTCTATCTCGAGAACGGTCAATATTTCCACCCTAGAGACCATGATTTTCGGAATCAGCGTGCTGAGAAGGCTCTGTGAGCCAATTTTCAGCCAAATCGGGATGGCCCGGTCATGGATGGTAAGAACTTTAGAGGGTTCTATCTCGAGAACGGTCAATATTTCCACCCTAGAGACCATGATTTTCGGAATCAGCGTGCTGAGAAGGCTCTGTGAGCCAATTTTCAGCCAAATCGGGATGGCCCGGTCATGGATGGTAAGAACTTTAGAGGGTTCTATCTCGAGAACGGTCAATATTTCCACCCTAGAGACCATGATTTTCGGAATCAGCGTGCTGAGAAGGCTCTGTGAGCCAAATTTCAGCTAAATCGGGATGGCCCGTTTCTCGCTGCTGGACTCGCTGCTCGCTGCTCGCTGCTAGTTTGACGGACGTACCGTACTTTTAGCCCTGCCATCTACTGCCAATTTTTGTAAGCACCAACGGACACATTCGTAGAAATTCAAGATGGCGTGGACCTTGTGATGAGATTTGTTGTTTTTTGCGATTGATGTTCAATATCGTTTAATTTTAGCGATTGAAGTGGAGAGTCTTGTTTGGATGTGGTGTTTTTTTTTTGAAGCTGCAAGGGTGTCAAGACTGCTCATGTGAACTGTATCTCTTTGAAAAGGGATCATAATTGTATCAGCTGCGTTATAGAAATCCTGGTGCATGTGTTTCCAATTTGAGTGAAATTTTGATGATCGGAGTATAAGATGAAATCTGAGGTATTACCTCAATAGACAGCCAGCATTTCAAGGTAATTGTTTATCCATGTTTTAGAAGCTAACAATTGTTTTGTTTTGTATTGCTAGCTTTGCCCAGGTTGAGGAAAACCGTACATTGAAAGCTATGAAACGGTTTATTAAATTTTCTACCATTATTCTATCCTGCAATTTTGTGTTATTTGTATGCTTTAAGACACAATAATGTTTTCTCCCAATTTTATAAAATAAGATCTGCCAGTCAAGGTTATTTTTTTTTGTGTTGAGCTGTGTACATCTTATCCAGTCCGAGACTGAAACCTTAATGTCCTGATTATCCTTTCTTCACTGATGTTGTTGAGTCTTCACAGTTTTAGATATGCTGTATGATTTGTTTGTTTTGCCTATTGATGTACACAAGCATGTTCATACCCATTCATACCTACTGGTATACACAAGCATGTTTATGCACTATGTAGACATTTTGGAAGGTGATGGTTTGTAGAACAATTATTGGGTGTGTATTTACAATAATCATTTCTTAAGTTCAGTGAACAATTAAGAAGACATTTTGGTATATGTCAAGTTTAGGTCCTAACTACAATTGTGACGCTGTTGATACGAATATGAAACAGCAAAAATTTTAGGTTTTAGGTTAGGTTAGGTTGTAGGTTTGTAGGTTTTAGGTTGTAGGTAGGTAGGTTTGTAGGTTAGGTTAGGTTAGGGTAGGTTTGTAGGTTGTAGGTTGGTAGGTTATAGGTAAGTAGGTAAGGTTAGGTCAGGTTTGATTATGTTGTTTTCTTTTATTTGCGAGACATATGAGTATCATTTTTGGATTCAGGATGTCAAATAATGTAAAAATATGAAAAATTTATCAATGAAATCTTCTTAGGACTTAAACTTGACATTTACCGACATTTTAAATGGAATTATATTATTTTTTCTTCTGATATAGCTCAAATACTTCATTAAAAGTGTTGTCATTGGTACCAAAATTATATTCAGGTTGTAATGAGAATTTTAGTATAACTCAAATATTTACTCTGAAGAAGTTTTATTTTGATACCTATATAATTGGACATAAAAATGAAAGCTATGAAAATGATTCTACATGCCATAAATCCTCTAACAGCTAGATTACCTAGTGAAGACTTATTGCATGTATATTGTGTACTGAATTTTGATACATTGCTTCCTAAGAATGGAATGTGTGGAAATGGAATCTGTCATTGTCATCTGGGATCATGGATAGATAGGTTTTTTGATCATGGGCGTAACCACCGCGCTGGAACGCTGGAAATTCCAGCCCATTTTTGGGATGCTGAAATGCCGCCCCCGGTAGAGGAAGTCTGCAATTGCGGGACTCGCGGACTTCAAAACCAAGAAAAAAACGGCACTGCTCGGTCCACCATACGCCTGACCTCAACGTGCCGCTCCTCACTAAAATAACTAGGTGCCCTCTACATGCCGCCCCTCCCAGATGTCCTTCCGCCCCTCCGCACCGACTTCCCCTCAAGTTCCTCGGAGCTCTCTATGTGCCGCCCCTCACAGAACCCCGCCGCACTCAATGTGCCGCCCTTCCGCATATAGCTCATCGCCGTCTGTGCCGCCCTCCCCAGAGTACCTCGGCGCTCTATGTGCTGCCCTCGCCACAACTTCCCGCCGCCCTCAATAAGCCGCCCCCCCCCCCAATGCTCTATCGCCATATGTGCCCCCACCCCCCGAAGTGCCTTGGCGCCCTCTATGTGCCGCCCCTCACCACAAACCCCGCCGCTCCAATGTGCCGCCCCTCCCCACAACGCTTTACCACCGTCTGTGCCGCCCTCCATAAACGCCTTGCCGCCCTCCCCAGAGTATCTTGGCGCCCACTATGTGCCGCCCCTCGCCACAACACCCCGCCGCCCTCAACAAGCCGCCACTCCCCACAATGCTCTATCGCAGTCGGCGCCACCCTCCCAAGGCACCTTGCCGCCGCTACGTGCCGCCCGTCCCCAGACGCCTTTCTGCCCTTACGCGCCTCCCCTTCCCAGAATGCGTCAAAACGTTTAATGATTCGCCCCTCCCTATAACGCTCCATCGCCGTCTGTGCTGCTCTCGTCAGGCGCTGTGCCACCTCTCCCCGGAATGCTAGCCCTCGCTGGCCCGGGGGAGGGGGGCGTTTTCGCCCCTAACCCTGGCGAATATTTGCGATAGCTCAGTCAGGGGTGCTTAAATTGCTGCTGTTTACATATAATAACTACGCATTGACTTGGCGAATTGTGCTGAAACGTCTCCGATAGGTGAACAATGAACATCGTGCGGACCGGGGGATTCATAATTCCATGGCAAGATATCACAGTTTGGTTGCTACTCTTAACGTGCGCAAATGAAGGACGTGCGCACGTTTTGGCGGGCTCTGTATGCTGCCCAACACAAAGTGTTACATTTTGGGCTCGATAAGTCTAAGGGATTCGCCTATGCGAATTCAGCCCATGAGAGCGTCAGGTGAGACGCTCTGATCGCAAACAACCATCGAAGTCGCGAAATGGCCCTGTGTGATTGCTTGATGTAAACATTCCGAGCCAACGAGTAGTGCCCTGAGCGCGCAGCAAGACTCAAGAGTAAAGCTGAGCACTTGAAAGAGTCCTCGGTCTACACTCTACTGTGGGGCCCTTGAGTGGGTGAGGTCTTTGGCTGGATCCCGTCCTGCAGGGTCACGCCTGGAATGGGTCCTCTTTAGGCAGGCTCGAAAGCTTAGGGGCCATCAGAGGCCGGTGTGGGGCTCTGAGAGTTAAGCGTGGCTGCTTAAAAGTTGCGTACTGCTTTCAGAAGGCCTGTGCGTTGGGCACCCAAAGACCAGCGTGGTGCCTTAAAATGCCAGTGTTACGCCCTCAGAGATGCACTGGTCAAGCCCTTTGAGGTTCTCAGAGGCGTCGGCGTGGTGCTCTCACAGGCGGGTGTGTGGTCCGTTGAGGTTTTGGCGTGATACCCTCAGAGGCCGGCGTCGCGTGGTGCTCTTAGAAGCTGGTGGGGGCTTCCAGACTCTTCAGTGTAGGACCCTCAGAGTCACCGGTGAGGACTCTCAGCATCACCGGTGAGTGGCCGGGCCGTGGGCAATGAGCCGGTATGGGACCCTCAGAGGAAGGCACCGGTGTGAGACTCAAGAGAGGTCAGTGTGAAGCCTTTACAGTTGCTCGTGTGGGGCAGTGAGTGCACTGGCGTGGTGCCTCCCGAAGGCCGGTATGGGATTGAAGCTTAGCGAGGTGATATTAGGACTTAACCCTCGCCCATATTGGTGTTTTCCAGCCACGAACGTATAAGGGGGGGGGGTCCGTTGGCCCCCCCTTGCCGTTTCCCCCCTGATCGGCCTAGAGCTTCGCGGAAAAACGAGCGTGTTGCCCGTGACAAGAGAAAGCCGATGATACCCAATTTTAAGGTCCTAGGTCATCGGTTGACCTTCCAGGTCAGGTCAATGACCCAAAAGTCGGGAAAATCGGGACCAGTTAGAACGTCGTAAAACGTGGTTATTATGGGGTTTTTAGGGTGCTGATTACGAATATCATGTTAGTTATGATCATAGATGATGTCTTAATGCATTGAGGACAGGTCGAGTCAGGTTAGGTCAGGTCAACCAGTAAGGGTTTTGCCGGGTATTCGTAGTAGGTAGCAACCGCATCTGACAGCTTCGTAACATGTTACGAAGGCACCAAAACTACTTCGTAAATGTTCAAATGGTTGCTAAATTCGAATTCAGCTCCAAAAACCTAGCCTAGAAACATGTAAAACTCGAAAAAGTGAACCGAGGTCATCAAAGGTCAATGACCTGACCTGACCTTCCGGTGACCTTGACACCCACCCTAATGCATGGGAGCAACATCATATCCCATGTTTGAAAGTTTGAAGCCACGAAAAGACTGCAAACGCGCGGCTAATGCGAGCCGACATCAGTCGAATCGCGATTCCGGCCAAACATGGTCTCGAAAAGTAGGTCACAGGTCAAAGGTCATTAAAGGGACCCTCCCACCTTAACATTAGATTTGAGTTGAGATAGCCAAAATGGGGTCCCTGGCTCACAATTACCGGTTTCGGCACTCACAACATCGAGAAATGCCTTAAATCGGAAATATTGAATTTCAAAATTGCAGCATTTTGATTCAGAGGGGCTAATGCATAGGAATACCCCTCTGAATGTGTGACGTCAGCGCAGATATCTAACGATTTTTAAATGTTTGACTAAAACGTTTTGTAGCACGCGGTGGTATATGCTGCTTTGCGCGCAACAAGTGCCGCACTTTCAGCTGCCAAACTATTGCTTCCAAATAAAGTCGCTAGGAACAGCGGAGATCCCAAAAAGTAAACAAAAGTAAAAGTCTAATATCTTGAAAACCGGTGAATATTTTTCGGTGAAATTCGGTAGATATTCGTTTTCGCTCTTTCTGAACCGAGCGACATCACTTTCATGCCAATTCATAAACTTTTTTGAAGGTGGGAGGGTCCCTTTAAGGTCAGGGTCATGAAATTTTCAGGGTAGGTGTAAAATTGATTAACGCGAGGGTACTGACAGTTTCATCACGATCCGCCGCTTTTTACGCGATTATTCGCGAAAAACCATGGGGGGGGGGCTCCGTTCGACCCCCCCCCCCCTATACTGATACGGGCGAGGGTTAAGTGGTGCCTTCGGTAGGACCGGTTCGGAAGCATTATTGTGGGGTCCTCAGAGGTATTATTGCTGACTGAGGCTAAAGAGGTGCCGGTGTGGACCCTCAGAAGTGCTAGTGTGAGGCCCTGAGAGACGCCAGTGAGGTTCCTCACAGGCGCCGTTGTGGGCCCTCAGAGACACTGGTGTGGGGCCGTCACAGACGAATGTGGGGCCCATAGAGGCTAGAGCTGCTGGTCTGAACCCCCTACAAGCCGGTAGGGGGCTCTCAGAGACCAACAAGGGGCCCTCAGGCCAGCAAAGGGCTCTCATAGGCCGGCGATACCTTCAGAAGCTCTGTGGGGTCCTTAGAGACCGGCACAATACTTTCAAACGCCGGTGGGGCCCTCAGAGGCGCCAATGTTGGGTCCTCAGAGCCGCTGATAAAGGTCCTAAAGAGGCACGGTGTGGGGCCCTCAGGAGTGCCAGCGTGGGGCCCTCAGAAGCACTGGTATGGGGCCCTCAGAGGTGGCAGTGTGGGGGCACTCAGAAGCGCCGGTGTAGGACCTGCACAGTCGCCGGTGAAGCCCTTCACAGGCGCCAATGTGGAGTCGCTCAGAGACACAGGGTCATCAGAGGCGCGAGCTGCTGTTGTGGACCCTTCATAAGCCGACAAGGGGATTTCAGAAGTCGGTGGTGCCTTGAGGAGCCCTGTGGGGTCCTTAAACACCGGCATGGTTTTCTCAGACGCTGCTGGTACCCTCCGAGTCACCAGTGTGAGGCCGTCAGAGCCACTGGTGTGGGGCCCGTAGGACCGCCGATACAGGGCCTTTAGAGACACTAGTGTAGGCCGTCAGAGTTGGGGGGTGGGGGTGGGGTGGGACCCTCAGATACGCCGGTTTGGGACCTCATAGGCGCCGGTGAGGGCCCTCAGAGTCGCCGTCATGGGGCCCTCAGAAATTTGTGAGGGGCTATCACAGGCGGGTTCGAGGCCACTAGAGGTGGCCCGTAATAGGCCGGTAAGGGCCCTCAGAAGCCAGCAAGGGACACTCAGACGCTGGCGTAGGGCCTTTATGGAGAACTTAGTGTGGCTACTCAGGGGCCCATGGGATGTCCTTACGAGCCCTGTGGGGCACTTCTGAGTCGAAATATGACCAGAAATATGGTCAGTAAACCCTCAACGGCCAATTGGCGCCACAGGGCCCCTCGTGCCCGTGTGGGGGACCTTCGGGACCTGTTTAGGCCCTCAGAGGCGCCGGTGAGGGCTATCAGTCGCCATTATGGGGCCCTCAAAGAAATTGGTGTGGGACCGTCACAGACGGGTGTGGCCTGGGGCCCCTAGAGCTGGCCCCTAACCTAATGGACCGGTAAGGCCCCTCAGGCTGGTTAGGACGCTCTGGCCGGTAAGGGCCCTGAGGCCGGTAAGGGCTCTTAGAGACCGCTGAGCCCCCCCCCCCCCCCGCTTTCGACGCCCATGGTCAGATCCCATTGCAATTGAACTCACCTGAATGAAGTGAACTATTGAAGAGTGTGCCTATCATTTATCAATCCGGTGCGTAGTAGCAAAGTCAAACTGCTAGCAGCGGGCTGACCACCCATCTTACGCATGCATATCTACCGCATAAAGTACCAATATCTCGAACACCAGAGCTGTGGCGTGTTATCTGCGTCTGCCCCTTATAACGTGTAGTCAGTTGACTGCTGATTATTGTTCGTATTTCACAAAGCGCAAGAATTTGACACACAACAGCGACACTGTAAATGCCCTCAAGTACTCACCTCTGGCTCTCGAAACATAAGTGCCGCCCTTCCCTTGGCATTTAATGCCGCCCCCGGAGGGAGTTATTTCCAGCCCATTTTTTTAGGAGTGATTACGCCCTTGTTTTTGATAGTTTATTTACCTCAAGTATCTGTGTAAGGTAGAGTTCATTAGGCATACATTCAATGATAGAAGGGTTTATAGAATTTCAAGGATTTATAGAAGGTGGATATTGCCTAAAGATCCAAAGGATGATTTTGGTTGATAACCAAATGTGATTTTTAGGGAGTATGTGTGTGGTAAGCACAGCCCATTTGTGAGTGTAAAATCCTAACATATTTGTCATGTATCCACTACATTCTATGCCATTCACTACTGTTGAAATTAACCAAAATGGCCCTAAATTGCTAAAAAGGAAGTTATTGCTACCTACCCACCAAATCTCAAGATCATCATGTTAACGTCTATTATTGATCAGTCCTTCCTCTCTGCAAGGTTTTAGCTGACAATGAGATACTTTTAAGTTTCAAGTGGTCATGTTGTGTGTGTTCTCCCTCACCAAAAGTACCACATAAAAATGGTCATAACTGACCATTTAGCATCAGATCACATTAGCATCACCTTTTGATTGCTCAGGATCACCCCCTATTCGGTGGTTGTTTTATCTGTTAGAATGTGTGATTGAGTTAATCTGTGCTGTTTGTTGTGTGCCCAAGTGTCCATTTGTGCTGTTCATTGTGCCCTGAGCGGCCGTTTGTGTCCTTAGCGGCCGTCTTTGCCTGTTTTTCCATGGCTGAGCGACCCCCTCTGTGCCTCTACTACAGAGACGGAGCCGCGACTGCCGGAGAAGGGGGCGGTCTGTGCTGTCACAGTGTGTGCTGAGCGTCCCCCTGTGCCCCTATTTCAGAGATGGAGACGGAGCCGCGCCTGCCGGAGAAGCGGCGCCGGCGGGCCACCGGCCAGGAGCCGGTGTCGGCGCCGGCGCCGCTGTCTATGCGCCAGCTGCAGGTGGCGCCGCCGGCCGCACCCGCCGCGCCGGCCGCAGCCACCCACTCAGGTGAGGGATGCAGACACAGGTAGGCGCTCAGCTGAGAGCACTGTGAGCTACAGTTACTCCACAGGCAGATGATGCTCATTGCTCGCACCAGCAGCCGCCACGCCATTGAGTGAGGGCCCGGAGTCGCCGTAGGTATAGCGGTGCTCGCAAGTGAGGCTCGCAGGCTGTAGTTAATAGCAATACATTCCAATGAGGATCGCATCAGCAGCCACCAAGTTATTTTCGACCAAAATACTGCGCGCTTTATGACTTATGTAGAGTTACTTGTGGATTGTGGAAGCATGACCTTTGTTTTCCACAAAGGTCGTGATGCTAACTAGCGGCTCTCATCATCAGCACCGCCATAAATCGAGAGCCTCCGAAGCCAGGGGTCATTGCGGCTCACGCTGATCAGTCATTTATCTCTGCGAACTAGCGGTGATCGATTTGTGTAAAAACGACGTTACTGTCAGCGCGCTATGGAGCCCAATAAACATATGATTATTGCCGTGCAATTCGTTTAGCGTATTACTCAGCCAAATAAGTAGCTAATGATCTTTGTCTGCTGATGTGATGATGTGTTGCCATGACAGTTCGATGGTGAATAGTGGTCAATGATCATTGGTTGTATAACTATACAACGACGACACTAGACTGTATAGTGTATGTACGAACGGCAGTTAGGTACTTGTAATGCTGCCTGTGCCTCTGTTACGTAACATGTCAGTACCAGGGGTCCCAAGAGAAGATGTATTGGGAGACGGATGAATGTATCGGATGCAAGTCACGATACTTCGAGCTGACATCTGATGTAGAGGGCTAGGGGCGCCGTGAACAGTGTTTGGAAGATCACCTTAAGATGGGAGGCACCTTAGGATGCTTCATGGAAGCGTATTGGGAGGCTTCCGAATTGCGAAAGACGTAGGTATTGTTCCGTAAAATGATGAATGCCATTTTCCGTATTTGGTCCATTCTATCGCACGATCTTTATTCCACGAACGTCATGCAACTAATGAACCAAAACCACCGACTCTGGATGCTGTATGTCCGCCTCTCCCCCGCGCACCGGTATTCTAGTGGTCCGTGTACCAGCCGCCTCTGTGGCTCTTCTCTGACCACCCCGCCCCTCCCCCCCCCCCCCAGCGGCCGGCGGTGAGCCCCTGGTGATCCGTACCCCAGCCGGTACAGAGGCCACCAGCAAGATGCAGCAGATTCTGCGCGCGCTCGGCCGCCGGCCCCGCCAGAGACGTGCCCGAAAACTCTCCAACGCCGCTCAGCTGAAACAGACCCAGGAGGGGGTCATTGACCTGGAGACGCCGGACAGCATCCTCACCAGAGTGCAGGTCAGTGACACGGCGACCGTCGATTCTTGGCTCTTTGGTTACGATCAGTATCTGTGGGATTTCCTCGCCTTGGGTTGTTATGGTTGGAAGCATAGCGCTGCCCGTTCCTGGGTTGTGTCGTAGATAATGTCCGTTATTTGTTTGCTGGTACTCTGGGAGGTTGTTAGTCTCAGCAGGGCCTCGCAGAGTAAATCATCCCGCCAGTAATGCAGGGCTGTTAATTACAGGAGTCATGTTTGTTGTCACGAAATGATTCAGTTGCTGGGTGATTATACTCTGCACTGTGTTCTAGAGTCTGCTCTTGCAGATATCAGACACGCCATGGTGTTCTGTCCATTACCGTTTGCACTTATACCATGTTATCAAGCGGCAGTTGTAATGCGTTTAATGCAGCCCTGCATCCAAGGCGTACGGGTTTTGTAAGAGTCGACCATGCCAGCTCCCTGTTTATCGCTGCGATTGATCTCTAAATCCCTCTCATCTGGCCCGTCCCTCACTTCCATCCATGGCTCTCCGTCTCGCTACTTTGACCCCCTTTCCAACTGATCCGTCGCGTTCACCCGCGGCAGGTGAAGTATCTTCTGAGTCGGTGTGTTCTCTTCTCTCCCTGCATCCTCTCCGCTACTCTGACTCCCCACCTTACTTCACCTGCTTGTTCACTCGCAGGTGAAGTCTCTACTGAGCCGATCGGCGTTCTGCCGGCTGGCGTCGCTCTCCGTTACTCTGACTTTCTGTCTAACTGATCTGATTCGTTCACTCGCAGGTAAAGTCTCTGCTGAGCCGGTCGGCCTTCTGCCGGCTGCCGTCGCTGTACCAGCTGCAGCTGGCCAAGATGCTGCCAGACGCCGACGGGCCCAGCGGCTCAGACGGGACCATGAAGTGAGTTGGGATACGGGCGACGGTTCTTCCGAGATTATGTGTTGGATTCGGCAGCGACAGAGTGCTGCAAAGTGCTGAACACTGAGGGTTGGTGGTTGTAACGGTTCTTAGTACTGAAGCACCCCTTTAGTGCCAGCTTTGGCAACAAACATCGAAGATTTCGAAATATTCCCTATCGGGAAGTCGATGTCGGGAATGGGATGTTCCGATGGTTCTCATTGCCTGGGTCTGGATGCCCCATATTTGGATCTCCCAGGCAATAAAGCTAAGTGGTTTCACTGGATTATCCAACAAAGCCCTTAACTTTCCCAATATGTCATGCTCTGTGTGGTGCAAACTGTGTGCATGCGATAAATTGTACCTCACTTTACCTTGGCCCAACACCGCTGCCGCTTCCTCCATTGTTGCTCGCCCCCATCATAGTTTGTTGGCAAACTCCAAACATCCATGGCCCCATAATTTCTAACTCTGTATTCTCCTTCCGGCAGACTGGGCGGCGCGAGCCTCAACAACGAGTTCCTGGCTCGCGCCTGTCAGCAGTGGCAGGAGCGACTGAGGCGGGGTGAGTTCACGCACGAGAACCAGCACAAGTACCGCGCAGACGTGGACATGATGCGGCGCCGGCTGGACCCCTGGAAGGTGAGAATTGCGCCGTCCCAGCGGAGACGGGGAATGGGGAGGGGTGGAGAGGAAAGGGGCAGGAGGGAAGGTTGGTGCTCTGTGGCGATGAGGTTTGCAGCTTGGTTGAGTATAGTGCGGAACGATTTGAGGAAAAGTGACAGTGCTTTTGGTGAGAGGTAAAGTGATTGTTTGTGAGACTATTTGAGCAAGTCGCCGGGAGCCTTGTGTGCTGACCGCGTAAATACTGAGTGCGTAATTTATCTGACTTGGTCGCTGGTGCGTTCTCTATGACCCCCAGCGGGCATTCAAACGACTAATGATTTCTCTGGGACGAGCCCTGCCATTTGATAGCTGAATTTTCTGGGAATAGCCGAGCCACTAACGTCAGAAGTTAGGTCATATTGATGACGTGACGCGGAAAGTCTCCAACAGTTACGATGGCATAACTCCCGGATTGAAATTTACCGAATCCGCTGAACTGCAAGGGAATGTCAGATGGTTTAATCATCCTGCTGGTTTTGTTTGGGCTTTTAGTAGCTGTCATTCGCATGCAACGTGCTCGACCATCAGTTGTAACGCGTTGAAACTTGACATTGTTTTTGCTGATGCCACTGTCGCTTCTTTACCGTAGAGCGCTCTGCAATATGTTCCGCGTTGATTTCTGTTTATCCATCGTCGCACACTTCTCTGACTCTGTCCCTCTTTGTGCGTGTGCCACAGGCGCGGAACTTTGAGCCGGTTTGGGGCCGGCGGCCGCGCCGCTCCGGCAGTCCGGTGACGCGTGACGCCCAGTCGGTGCTCGGCACCGCCCTGCCGCCGGTGCCCGCCGCCGCCGCCGCCGCTGTCCTACCAGCCGCCGCCGCCACCACCGCCCCGGCGGCCGTCCCCGTCTCGGCGGCGGCAGCAGCGAGCAGCGCCCCCAGCGGCTCGGCCGCCGCCCCGTCCGTACCTGAAGTGAAGCCAAAGAGGTCGTGGGCCACGCCGCCGCCAGAGTCAGCCGAGAGGACGGCTGGCGCCGAGGACGAAGGTGGGTTCAGGGGCGGCGGTAGGTGGGAGATGGGGAAACAGATGCGTTATAGACGTGCTGTTCCATACTGTAATACCGTCTTTCATTGTTGCATCAAACCGATCGTCGCGTAACCAACTTTGTGTGGTAAGAGTCAAGAAGGCGTCTCTGGGAAGCATCCAAATAGATTGAGTAAGGGGAGTGCTAAGGAAGCATCGTAGCGTACAGACTTTTGCCGCCAACGTCATGAGCTTTCGCATATGAGACGGCTCGCGCGATAAATGCGTCGTATGTCTTCGCAGAGTTGGAGCTGTGCGTATCGATTCAACTGCTCAAATTTACCATTACTCTGAATGCGTCAGCGGCATTTTACTCATTCTCTTCCCAGTGCGTATCTGATTTTCCCACGATAGTCCGCCGTGACAGAAAGTACATGATGTGCGACCTACCCTCCCTCCCTCTCCCCCCGCAGAATGGAGCTCCCCCAACGACGTGTCTCTCGAGTCTACCACGTGGTCTCCGACTGAGGAAGCGGACGACTCGGGTCGGACCGAGGACGAGCTTCCTCCAGCCGAGGAGGACGAGGACGACGTCGGCGAGGAGGAGGAGCCCGAGGAGGAGGAACTGGAGAGGATGATGGAGCAGGTGGAGGAGGAGGAGGACGAGGAAGAGGAGCCGGAGGAGGCGGCCGCCGAGGTGGCCGTGTTTGTGGCCGGGTCGGTGTGCGGCACCCCGCCGGCGCCCGACAGTCCGCCGCGGGTGCAGCTGACTCCTCTGGCGGCCCCGCGCGCCGCCGGACGCAGGGACTCTCCGCCGCCGACCCCGCCGCCGGCCGATGTCGGCGTGTCCCTGCTGCCGGTCGGTGTGAGCTCCGCCGGGGGACCGAGCGGCGCGGAGAGGGCCGCGCCGGCTGACCCGCTCATCACCACCATCTCGATCACGACGGCCAACTCGGAGCCCTCCTCTCCGGCCAGCGAGATAGGCGGCGAACAGGGCACGGAGGAGGAGCCCCCGGCGGCGGCGGCGGCGGCCGAGCCCGTTACGGTGGAGCTGCAGACCGCGGCGGGACGGCCGCCCGACCGGCCCACCTCCCCCACCGAGCAGGAGGACGGAGAGGAGGGAGAAGATGAGGACGAAGAGGAACAGCGGGTAACGATAGTGCCGGTGCCCGGTCCGGCGCCGGCTCCGGCCCTGGCCGTGCAGGCCCCAGCCGTGTCAGAGGCTGTGGATGGGATGGAGAGCGATACCCCGCCGTCAGTTACCCCAGCGGTGGTGTCTCCGGCTCGGCAGGAGGAGGTCACAGTGACGCCTCTGGTGACGCCGAGCACATCACCGGCCCCAGCGGCGGTCCCGGCCGCGCCGCACCGGTCGCCGCCGTCGCCGGCAGCGTCTGCCACCCCCTCCCCTGCCGCTGCTGCTGCCGCTGCCGCTGCCGTGGCGGTGTCGTCTGCCGCTCCAGCTCCGGTCGCCGCCTCAGTCCCGGCTCCGGCGGTCTCCACGGCGGTGACAGCGATGTCAGGTGTTGCCGCCCAGCAGCCGCAGCCGGTGGTCTCTGAGGCAGCACAGCAGCAGCCGGCGGCCGAGCAGCAGCTGGCGCCGGTGCCGCCCCCTGCCCAGCAGCAGCAACAGACACAGCAACCAGCCCAGTCCCAGCCGGCAGTTCCGCTGCAGCAGCAGCAGGTAAGAGGGCTCGGGTCCCTGCTGGTGTTTCGATTTAGTTTCTTTGCTTATTCGGCTGAATGAGACGAATGTTACTTTGTGTTTCTTAAATGGTATTACAGTTAGCGTCAACGCAGTGGCTCAACGTCTTCGGACTCCGCTTTCTTCTTCCCGTTTTGACGTCTCTGCCTGTCTTCTGTGTTTTTGCTTATGTGCTCGTGACCGTAGCACTCTAAGCTGAGTGTATGTCTCGTTTCCTTCAGGTGCGGCCGGCGCTGGCGGTGTCTGCCGGCCAGCCCCAGCCGGTGGCCCTGGCCGGTACCCTGCCTCTGCCGGCCACGGCGGGCGCTCAGCCCCGGCCCCAGACCTCGGCCGCGCCCGCCGCACAGCTGCGCACCAAGGGGAAGGGACGTGGGCAGGTCAGTGAAAGTGTCAGGTGTTATTTGTGTGTCGGGCTGGGGGTAATTGGCGTAATGCTGTGCTGTCGTAATTGCTCATTCTCGCATCTTCTCAATAATACTTAAGTTTTCTCTCAATAGTTAGGGACCCAACTAGGGCGTGTTCTCAGTTGTGTTCCCGTTGTGTTCCCTATGCAGTAATGTGTGAATCTTCTAATGTGATGTTTTGGTCCCCGGATCTCTCTTAGACGCCACATTCTCTGCACCGGCAGGCCGGCAAAGCGGGTAAGGCGGCCCGTCCGCCGGCGGGTACGGTGAACCTGGAGCGCTCCTACCAGATCTGCCAGGCGGTCATCAACAAGTCGCAGAACCGCGCTCAGCTGCAGGCGCAGCTCAAACCGCTGCCGGCGCTGTTGGCGGAGCGCGGCGGCCCGGCCGGCCGGCGCTCGACCGCCCCCTCCGCGGCCGCCGCCGTATCGGCCGCGCCGCACGCCATGCAGGTCAAGTACGTCCAGGTGCCCGGCCAGAAGGTGTTCACGGCCACGCGCGTGGTGGCGATGCCGGCGGCCGGCGGCGGCGGCCACACGGCCACCCCGCCGCCGGCCGCGCCGCCCGGGACGGTGGCTGTCAGTCAGGAGCAGGCCGCGCCGCTGGTGCTCGGAGAACTGGGCGAGAACGGAACCGTGGTGCTGCGGAAGGACCTGCTCGTCCGCGGCAAACAGAAGGTCTACCAGGTGAGATTACCGGCGGCGCGGGCTCACGCTGATCGATTGGGGTTTGGGGTATATGGGATTTGCTCGCATCAGTCTTCCAGCTTCTGTCATTTTCCCCAATGTTCCTGAAAGAGCAACGAACACTCATCCCTAACATACAACTACTACCGTAATTGTAAACTGTGAAGATGCACAGAAGTTTACCCTTCAATCCTCGATGCCAACCTTCGCCGCTTTTCCGGTCGCAATTCTGACCTGATCAACGAATATCGGTGGCGTCCTGCTGTCCAACTTTTGTTTTGTACCTGCCGTTTTTTCCGCGCTGACCTCCGTTTCTCGGTTTCTCTCTCCCTCCCCATTTCCACCCCACTCCCCTCCCTCTCCATCCGCACCGTCCCGTCAGCCGCCGCGCCGCTCGACCCGCCTCTCCCGGAAGCGGGCCCGCTCCCACTCGGCCTGGTCCTCGGATCCATGCCGACTCTGTGTCGGATGTCGCGCCTCCTTCCGACCGACTGAGCGCAAACGAAAACGCTAAGGTACGGCGAGCTGGTTAGGACGCAAACGAGATTATGAAGGCCGTCTTTAGGTCATTTCATGCTTGGTGTTGCGTAACCTGTCGAGAAACACAGTAAGTTTGTGTGCTGTCAATACAGTACAATGATCAAAAGTGCACGATCGTTGTGTGCTGTGACTGAAAACTGGGGTTCTGAGATTGCCAGTGGACGTTCCTTTTCCGTGAGGCCCTATGCTTTTGTGCCGAACGGCCTCATGAGTCTTGTGCTTTGAGTATGTGCTAGTGCCTCACTTGAACCGCGTCTGTGTGTCCCCGTGTGACCTGTGTGTCCGTGTGTGACAGTGTCTGACATGTTTCCGTGTCCGTGCGCCCGCTCAGATGACTGACAGCAGCGGTAAGACGGTGCTGGTGATGCGACCTGTCCTCGAGTCACCACGGGCGTCCAGCGCCCCGCCCGACCGGCCGCCGACCGTGCTCCACCGACTGGCCCGGCCCAGCTCCACGGGCGGCGCCGTGCAGCTGACCCAGCTGACCTCCCAGCCGGCCGGGCAGCACCAGCTCCTACAGCACCAGCAGCACCAGCAGTTCATACAGCAGCAGCAGCAACAGCAACAGATGGTCACACACCAGCAGATGCTCCAGCAACAGCAACAGATGCAGGCGAGACAACAGCAGCAGCAGCAACAGCAGCAGGTTCAACAGCAGCAAATTCAGCAACAGCAACAACATGTACAGCAGCAACAGGTACAACAGCAGCAGCAGCAACAACATGTTCAGCATGTACAGCAGCAGCAGCAGCCACCACAACCACAACCACAACAGCAAGTACCGCAGCAACAGCAGCCTGTGCAACAGCAGCAGCAGCAGCAGCAGCAGCATCTCATGGTTCAGCAGCAACAGCAGCAGCACTTTATCAGTCAGCAGATGCAGCAGCAGCGGCAGCAGCAGATGCTGGCCGCCCAGCAGCAGCAGCAGCAGCTGTCTATGATGCAGCAGCAGCAGCAGCGGCCCGGTGTGCCGCAGCAGCGGTTCATGCTGGACCCGAATCAGAACGTGTCTGTGCGGCCGCGGCAGTGGACGCCGGCGGTAACCGCCTACCGGCCGGCGCAGTTGGACAATGGCGCCACGCAGTATGTCAGTCTGAACCAGCAGGTGGTGCAGATTCAGAACTCTCCGAACCCCACGGCGGCCGGGGCGGCGGCGGCGGCCGCAGCCGCAGCTGCAGCGGCAGCCGCCGCGGCCGCGCCCGTCTCGGCCGGCCAGTCCATGTTCCACCTGCAGCCGGGCGGCCGGCCCATGGTGAAGGTGGTCTCGGGCGGCGGCGGCGACTGCGGCTGCAGCCTCAAGGCCATGGTGATGTGTCAGAAGTGCGGCGCGTTCTGCCATGACGACTGTATGCCGGGTCCGCCGCAGCCGGCCGTCTGCACCACCTGTCTGGCGTGCCGGTGATCGGCGCGCGGCGAGTCGACTGCCGACGGCGGCGCGAGGCATCCCCGCGGCCGCCGGCGTGTGTGATAGTGCCTTCGCTGTGTGAGTGCGCGTGGTTTTAGCAGCGGTCGGCGCGTCAGCCGGCCGAGTGTACTGGCCCCCGAGTCCGGCGGCCCATTATCGCGCGGCGCGTTCCCATGCTTTCCAGTGCGGGCGTTGATCTTGTTCTTTTTTACCTAATGCAGTTAAGGGTATTTTGTTTATAGTGCACTGATATTTATTGTACTGCATTCACCGTCGGGAGATGTTCAACGCCATCTGTAAAATACATATGATGTGCGCAGAGGGTTGTGTTGACCTGACGTCGAGGAAACTCGAAATCGAGCTAGGGGAACCCTCAGTGCGGTGTGAGACAGTTCGTGCACTTAACGAGTCGTGCGTCGGTGGTGCAGCGCGAAACCACGTGAAGCAAGCGATCCAAGTACGCTGTACTGCGTCCCACAAACGGGACCACTCGCTGCGGATTGGCTGGTTCGTGTGACGGGCGCGTAACGCTCACCTAACGCTCCGGACATGGGCTTGGCCGTGGAATGTGGATAGTAGTTTCATTCATAGACCCGCCGGGAGATTTGAACCCGAGATATCGGCGTACAATGGCTATGGTGTCTAGCCGTGGCCGTGCACCATGACCGACCCAAAAGTCCGTTTAGCCAAACCACCGCTATTACCCGACACATCTGAGAGGCACTCCATATCCTTCTAGAACAGCACCCCGATGGCAGACGCGATTGAACAGCGTATTCTGGTAGTGGTATGCTTTGAGCGCGCTGTGGGAAGACTCAGATTCGCGTGAAGAACTCCCTGGATACATAAGAATAGTATATATTGAATGCCACGACGGGCCGGCACGGGCCCACGATCAGATTACATCATGCACATTGTCACACACCTTCAGCCGGCGGCAGCGGGCGGGGCGGCGGCGCTGCGCCCCTGCACCGGGCGCAGCGCCGCCCGCCCGACTAGATATGTATTGGGACACCGCGCGCGCGCAGTGCGCGGCGTCTGTACTACCGGTATGGCGCGGCGCGCAGATATATCACAAATTCTACACCTGACGGGGCGGACCGGCGCCGCCGTGAGCGGAGCTCCGTCCGTGCCCAACTGGAAAACGCTCCCAAAAAGACAGGACAGTACAAGAGATACACTTGTGATTACGGGTCGCTACAAAAGTTCAAACACATTTGAATTCATGCTACCAAACACACCACATTCATACCGAAAGAGAACGGAGCGGCATCGCTCGGCAAAATTACTCAAACATCCTCCACTTCACAGCACCGACAAAGACGTGTGCTGAGTGTGATGCCTGCTAGTTCAGCAAGCAGCTCGTTCTAGCAGTTACCCTGTGCCCGGCTGGCGGGCGGTGGCCCTAGAGGCGGTGGCGGGATGCGCGCGCGGCGCGTGGAAAGACTGTGATGGGTGGGTGCGCTGTATGCCGCCCAGCGGCGGCGGCGGCGGCCTCACTACGCGTCCCAGTCGGCCAGCTGGGCCTCGACATCGCTCGGAATCCGAGCTGGAGCCGGCACCGGCCGCGCCACCGGCTTCGGCCTCGGCCGCGGCGGGTCCGGTTTGGAGTCCGAGTCGGCGGCGGTCGAGGTCGAGCTCTCACCTTCTCCCGGCGACCCCGCCGTCACCGTCACCGTCGCTGTCGTCACACCCGCGTCACTTTCACTAGCACCCGCTGCACCACCGTTCGTCACATCTTTCGCCGATTTACTTGACGCGCTATCGGCTTTCTCTGAGTCCGAGATCGCGCCATCATCTTTGCGACTTGCCTCATCTTTGGGGGAGCTCTCAGTCTCCTTGGGGGGAGCCTCGAGCCTCGCCTTTGCCGAGTCGCTGGTGGCTGATGGGGGAGGTTCTGACACGTCAGTCGCCTTCTCCGCTGGCGCGGCCGGCGTTTGGGACGCCTCCTGACTGGCGTCTCCTCCCTCCTCCACGGCACAGGAGCGGATGACCTCCTCGATTACCCGGTCCAGATCCCCATCATCCGTCACTGGTTTCTTGGGCCGCACTCGCTTGGTCGGCGAGCGGCGCTCCTTGGTCTCCGCTTTCTCCGTCTTCACCTCTGCACCCTCCCCTATCACAGCCACCGGTGTAGAGATCGGAGTTGGCGTCGGTTCACCCACCTCACTCCCAAGCGTCATCGGTGCGGCGGGCATAGTCGGCTCGTTGAAGTTCTGCTTCATCGACTCCAGAATCTGGGTGGGTTTGGCGATATCCCTGCGGGGCGTCGGCGGCGTCCTGGTCACCGCCGCCGGTGTGGCGCTTTTGGCGCTGCTCGGCAGCCGACTGCGGGCGTACGTTCGCACCACGGCCGGTCGGCGGGGCTCCCCGTCCTCCGTGAACTGGTACGGGTCGGCCGGCGGGTCGTCCGGCTGCTCAGCGGCCACGCGCCGGCCCGGCCGACGCTCCACGCGCTGCAGCATGCTCATGATCTTCAGACTGGACGCGCGGTCGACGCGCTCCACGCGAGAGGAGCTGCCCTCGATGGTGCCGGAGCCGGTGCGGCGCGGCACGCGGGCGGTCGCCGGGCGCGACACGCCTCCTTTGCGCATCCGTGCGGTGAGCTGGAGGCACTTTTGGAGCTGCTCGTCGGAGAGCGGCTGGCGGCGGGAGCTCGGCGAGGCCAGCCGCTCCGCCTGTTTGAGTTGACGCGCCAGCTCGGCCAGCGCCGAGCCGTACGGATGGGCCTCCACCAGCTCGGACAGCAGCTTACTGTCCGAGTCCCCGTCCTCCTGTGGGGACATAGCACGGCCTTCAGGGAAGGGAACGAGATGGGAAGAAATATTCCAATCCTAGGGTTATCACAAAAAAAAAACAGCCGGAAGAGCGTCGCACTCAAGAAAGTAAGAACTTTAAGCAAAACCTCCAGATACCGCAAACTTCTCACAATGGAATGCTTCGCTTCGTCAAATATTATGTCAAGCAATATAACGACCACAAAGTAAACTAAGCCAACCTTCATTCAAACCAACCGGTGGTTTGACACCACAACACCACAGTGTCACACCGATATCCACATTCCTCCCCACCTACATACTCCTTCCACCCCGAAACTAACCTCGGATGCCTCCGACCGCGTATCCTCCAGTCCAGGCACAGTGACAGTGGCCGAGTTGAGCGGATGTTCGCTCTCCATGTGAGCCACGACCTTCTGCGGCGTGCAGAAGCTGATGCCGCACTCTGCAGGGGGCGGACAGGCGCGGGTCAGATAGTGCGAGGGGCAGGGAAGGAAGACAGCAAACTGAGACTAAATGGTAAGTGACAGAGCTACGGTCGAACGATGGCCAAAATTACGACAGTTATCGAATTTCTGGTGCTCATAGTGTAAATAATAAATATCATCACAATAAGGCATCAGGTTTCACTTCGTTAAGTAGCACCAAACAAAACAAAAAGATTTACTGAGTGGGACAAGCCATGTTGTGCAAACATACAACCTAGAATCGCTATATTCGCTGTGCAGCAAAATCTTCCACCACATAAAAGAGAGAAAGCACATCTGACCCGTGTGAGAAACATCGATCGAAAAAAAAATGCACCGGATGTCTACCTGAGCAAGAGAAGTTGTTTATCTCACTGGCTCCGCTAGCGTTGCTGTTAGTGTCAGAAAACTCCAGACTGGCCCAATCAGCTTCTGAAAATCCCAACACCGGGTTCTAGCCAGGCAAAACGACGCGAAACGGGGCCGGGGCGGGGCGGCAGGCATTCGGGAAAAGAGCAGCCGTCAACTCAGAAAGAACAGCGCAACGGGAAACCATGCGGCGGGGGCATTCCAACACCTAAGGTAAGTCATTCTATGAGATATTATGCAAACAGAAGATCACGTAGCGTTCATAATAGACAATCGTACTGTTTAAGACACAGAAGCAATCGCAAGCCTCGACGCATCACTAGCGTTCTATTCTGAAACATGGAGAGCTCTGTCGTACAGTCAAGCAAGACCGTCAAGTAACCAGCCGACACGGAGCAGGGGCGGGGACGGAGGAGCCGGTGGATGGGGAGGGGGTTGGGTGCAGGTCGTCTCGCTCGAGCTCTCACCACTAACCATGCCAGCTGACCGCTCACAGCGCCGGTCTAACAATCACCTCCACTCACCTGAACACATGAAGTCGCCCTCCTCGTCCTCCGCGGTCGCCGGCGCCGCCGAGGTATCCTCCGAACCGGCCTCTGAGGGCGCCCCGTCAGCCGCCGCGGCGGCGTCAGGGGCGGCCCCAGACGTAGCAGGCTGGGACGGACCCGGCTTGGTCGGCGTGTAGTTTGAGATGTCGAGCAGGGAGGGGCTCTCGACCTCGTCCGTGGGCGCCGGAGATGCCTTTCCAGGAGGGCCTCCAGCGGAGGCGGCGCGTCCCGCTGTCGACCCGGGGCGGGAGTACTCCTCCAGGGTACGGGAGTCGTCCGTTTTGTCCTCGCGCAGCGCTGAGGGAAGGAAGGGCACACGGTGTTACTGGTAGTGGAAAGATGGTGGCGGATTAATTACAAAGCAAGGATAACTTCTATTACACTATGCAACAGTCATTTTGTTCCTGAGTAACGACCGATTTTTTTGGACTCATTGGGTCTCATTATAACCGAAATGGGCATTTGTTTTGATCTGAAAATGCTTTTCCGGTTTTCAGAGACGATTTTCGATTTTTGGCCCCGAAATTCGGTTTTTGGCCCACCGTGTCCGGTGTAATTGAGTAATCGACTCGCGGTAACTTTCATCGCCTTTTCTATGCCACAAGCTTTCGAATGATATCCGACTTTGCATATTTGCGTGTAAAAATAACGTCATAAATCCATGTTAAAGTAAGAAAATGTTGAAATTTTGTAAAGATTTGACATTTTTTCGATTTCATTTCAAAAAAGAGAAAAAACTAAAGTCCCTATCCAAAATCTGAGCCCAGTTCCTTGAAGAGCATTCAATTTCCGTTCGGAAGGTACTACTTTAGTGCATTTTATCGGTTTACTGTGGCGTCCAGATTGAGTCACTTGAAAAACGGGCCCCCAGCCATTTCCATGACAATATGTGTTCAGTGCATCATGAAGAATCACTCTAACAAATGGAGGTACAGATCAAGATTCTGAGCGACAGGACTGTTCAAAAGTAAGTTCCTGCGTGTGACCCGAGGTCACAAGGGGTCAACAACATGACCTCAGTTGACCCCTCGTTGACCCTATGGCGTTAACATACGTTATCAGGTTAATGCTATGTGATATGACCTAGGATATATGTTTAGGTTAACTCAATCTGGACGTCACAGGAATCCGATAAAATGCACTAAAAAAGTACCTTCCGAACGGAACTTGAATGCTCTTCAAGGAACTGGGCTCAGAATTTGGATAGGGCCTTTAGTTTTTCCTCTATTTTGAAACGAAATGGAAAAAAATGTTTAAAAAATCCCAAATTTTAACATTTTCTAACTTTAACATAGATTTATGACGTCATTTTAAGGCGCAAGTATGCAAAACCAGGTATCATTCGAAAGCACGTGGCATAGGAAAGACGATGAAAGTTACCGTGAATCGATTGCTCAATTACATCGGACACGGTGGGCCCAAAACCGAATTTTGGCGCCAAAAATAGAAAATCGGCCCTGAAAACCGGAAAAACATTTTCAGATCAAAACTAATGCCCATTTCGGTTATGATAGGACCCAATGAATAAGAAAAATTCGGTCGCTTTCCAGGAACAGAAATTTTTCATTTTTTGTTGCATAGTGTTATGGAAGTTGGACTTTCTGATCGCGGCGACTCAAGACAAACACTGGTTAAAATGATGTGTAGAGGAACGATCCATTAAAAAATAACTGGCATCGTTAAATTTTGACTTATCTTCCGACTTCCATGAAGCGTACATCGCACTTGAGTTCGAAAAGCTCGATCCTTCAACTCTATCCTTCAACCCAATACCAGTAAATCAGTTAACGACTGTAATCAAAATGGCACCTAGCCCAACCACACTGACTACATTTACTCCCTCCTCTTCTCCCCACCGCTATGCCCGCTCACTTTTAATGATGACCGGTTTGACGAGCGGCGGCGCCCCGCTCAGGTCGCTCTGACAGTGGCACACGAACTTGATCTCTCCGTCGACCACATCGAGCGCCAGCCGCCAGTGTTTGTGCGTCTGCGCCATGTGCCGGGTGAGGCCGGCAGAACCCGAGATCGGGTAGCTGTCCCCACAGACCGGGCACTGAACCAGACTGGAGGCCGAGTCCTGGTCCTTCTGCAGCGCCAGAGCTGCGGGACGGCGGGGGTGGGGTTAGACCGGGCGGGGTCAGTGCCAAACTGAGGTAGGGCAGACGGAATACAGAACGACTCCAAGAACATCGACAGAAGGAAACGGTACAAAAATACGACACATGAACGATAAAAATCGTCCCAAATGAGAAACCCACTAATCAAGCTATCTGTACGAAAACTAACAAAGACAATTAAAGAACAACAATCCAATACAATTAACAAGGTCGAAAGATAATAATTATTACAACACAGCAGCCGGCAAGCATTGAACCGTTGTCATGTTCAACATTGTACCCGAGTACAATGTTCCGCTATATTCGTATCCCGTCCCGTTCCGCTCCCCGACTCACCGATGATATCGCGCCGGCTGACTCCGGCCTCCTTGTGCGCCAGCTGCGCGTGCAGCGCCACCGACGCCATGTTCTCGAATATGACGTCACACAGCGGACACTTTTTGACGTCACCCAGGTCAGACAGGTTGATTTTGACGTGCTTGTGCGCCGAGGCGATGTGGCGACCCAGGCCGCTCGCCTGCTTGAATCTGGAACAGGAGGATATCGGTGGGTTCAGCACGGATGGATGGTAAGTCGCAACTGTATATCATTGCCGCTTAAACCTTGACGTCTGACGCTTTCGTTGAAGCAAAATATACCTATAATGCTTGCTATCCCTTTCTAAGTCTGCAATAAAATAACTAATCAGCATAATCGCAATGACATAAAATCATTCAGAAATGACTGCGTGATCACTACAACTTATTCGCTTCTATCACAGACTATATTCATTATTCAGTAAGTGAGTGCTAAAGTCAAGCGGTCCCATCCCCTCCCCAGTCGTCGCCGATCTCCCGACTGACCGTTCGTCGCAGAGCCGGCACGCGTACGGCTGGTTGGTCAGACTGGAGCTGTCCAGGCGGCCCACGGCCAGCGGGTACGTCACCGCTCCGCCGGCGGGGACAGAGGCGGGCGAGGCCGCGCCGTCCGCCGCCGACGGTCCGGCGGCGCCGGCCGGAGACGACCGACCCGTGCTCTGAGGGGAGCTCTTGGCGTCCGAGCTGCTGGGGGTGGGGAGAGTTAGCGTCAGATACTGACCAAGAGAGAGGGGTTCGGCTGACATTTTGAGCTATAGCAGTCGGGGTGAGGTCACTGGCATTTATAACCGCACTCAGTGTTCTATCCGACACAAAACGGAGGTGACGCCGGCATACTTTCACTATCGCACACTGACCAGAATAAAACTTCAGATTCTCATAACTTCTCGAGAACAAGCTGAGCTTTCAAACACCCAGGATTGTTCATACTAGTCGAAACTTTCCCAACATCTGCGTCCTGCTCTTTAGTACAACATTCGTCCCCTTCGACCCAAACCTCCTACCCATTACACGAGCAGCTTTTCAGCTCAGTCACCTAGACTCCTCAGTCTCATACCAAACATGACTTTATCCACCCAGACCCCTCTTTTCTTCACAGCTTTAAATTCTTTCTCACCTCGAATCCCAAATATTCTTACTCTTCAATCCCTTGTTGTTTGTTTGTTTATTGGGGCTTTAGGGCGCGCCGATTACTCTTCAATCCGACTCACCCCTTGCTCTTGGAGATCTTGCTCTTGCCGAGCATGTTGGTGATGGCCCGGTCGAACAGACCACCCAGCGCAGAGGTCATCTGCGATTTGAGCCCGCTCCGGTCGGCACCCGGCTGGGGGCGTCGGATGTGCTGTCGCGCGATGTGTAAGTTCAGGTGCAGCGGGTCGCGAATCAGCTCACCGCACACGAAACACGCCTGGTTCCGCTGGCTGGCCGGGATAATCTGCCGGAGTGGAAAGTTGGGTTAAAAAAAACGTTACATTGAGCCATAGGAAAGTAGCATTAAAGTAACAACAGTGCAACGCAAGCAGATGACTAGGAAATCGTAACAGAAGTTTATCGTAACTTAGTCAACAGAACAGAATGGTCCTGAAAGAATGGTCCCTGCCGATAAGTTAAAAAAGGCCACAAGGTGGCCTTTTAGTTTTCTTATCGTCCATTGACAAATTGCCTACACTGCAACCATTACGCAAAGCAGGCAGATAAATCGAGCAGCCCATCCTAATCCGTTCCGACACCCTACTCACCTGAATGGGCACAAGGTGTTCGATTTTGCGCGCCACTTTGCCCTGCGATGCGCGGTGCTGCCACATGAGGTGCTGGCGGACGGAGGCGCGGCCGCGGAACCGCCGGTCACAGATCGGGCACTCGAACTCGCCTCCAATGTCCTCCTCCCGTCGTCGCTCGGCCGCCGCCGTCGCGTCCGACGCCGCCGCCACGGCCGCTGCCGGCGGGGGCGGCGGCGGCGGTGGCAGCGCGGACGGCGCGGGCGCGGGCGGCGGCGGCGGCGGCGGCGGAGGCAGCTGTCCGTCTGCCGAGCCGCTGTCGTAGACGAGCTCGGCCTTGTTGCAGGAGCCGAGTTGTTCGAGCATGGTCATCTCCTCATCGGTGATACCTGGCGAGGGTCCGCTGGTGAGACACGGGCAGACGACGCCGGTCAGACGGGGCGCGCGCCGCCGGCCGCCCCCGCCCAGACAGCGGGCGGCGGCGGGCAGCGGACAGACACCAGAACGCAGACTCCAGAGAACGAGACAGATCAGGGACCGGGCACGAAGCACATGCTGCCTTTGAGGCCGACTATCGTCTAACATGCGATGGATCAGCTAATGGGGGGGGGGGGGTCGTGCTGGGTGCGTGTTATCTCAGAAAACCGACACAGACTTTGAGTAAACAGATCGTCCAAAAAAGCCGCCAGAATACCCCCCCCCCCCTCCACAGTACGACACTTGACAGCCATTCCAAGAAAGCAAAACAGAATGATAAGGCAAACTGTGACAAAAAGAAAACATTGCGTACAATATTTAAAGAGAAAATACCGGGGAAAATGCATTTTAAGAGAAAATGCCGGGGGAAAGATCACGAAAAATGCGGAAACCAATCCAGCACAACCATTACCATCCTTCCACAGTAGCACATTATGAATCTCTTGAACAATTCTTTCATGCCCAGACTCTGAAGCCACCACAATCCCTCACTCACCCATGGCCTGCTGCAGTGCCGGCTCCATGGTAAAATCTGTCGGCCCGGCGGCGGAAAAACCCTCCCGGGTGTCGGCGGCGCCCAGAGAGGCGGCAGATGAAGTCACACTGAGGTTACTGTTGTCGTCATCCAGCACAGAGTTCACAGTGCTCATGATGTAGCCCAGTCCTGTGGACAGATGTGGAGCGTTTTGTCATGAGATGACGTGGTTATATGACGCAGCTGGGTAGACAATTTGACGAGAATTCACATTATTAACGAAGGATACGAATTTGATTTTGCAATCCAGTCACATCCACTCCTGTCAGTCAGGAGTGGATAGGAGTGGATAGTCAGGAGTGGCGAAGGATCATACGGATCCTTCGCCAAATAGATCTGAAGCTGAATCGTAAGCCCGAAGGCCTTGTGTAGCAGCAATGTATCCCAGCATAATAACCCCCGCCCCTCCCAACCCTCCCCTTTCTCCTCACCTGACGAGCTGGCCTGTTCGGCCATCAGAGTCCGCACCGGCGGCAGGGGCGCAGAGTCGGCCGGCGGCGGCGGACCGCACAGGAACTCCTCGCCCGCTCCGGGCGGCGGCGGCGGCGGGTAGTCGTAGTAGTCCACCGGCAGCTCGGGCGGCGGCGGGGGCGGCGGCGGGGGCGGCGCCTCGGGCTGAGGCGCCGGCAGCGCCAGCCCCGCCCCGCCGCCACCGCTCGCGCCGCCGTCCTGGCCCTGGTTGAAGTTGTTCCGCATGGTCTCTATGACGCTGGCGGGCCGCGGGCTGCGGTTGCGCTGCGGCGGGCAGTGGGGCCGGCGCGGACTGCGCGGGGCGCCCAGCTCCTCACCGGCCGCCGCCGGGGCCGCCCGGTGACCGTCCTCGGCGCCCCAGAGCCGCTTGTCGGCGGCGCGCGCGCCGAACCCGAACAGGCCCTCGCGCTCCATGCTCTGGACGATGTGCGTGTCGCGCCGGCAGCGGCCCTGCACCTCGCGCAGGAAGCGCAGCACGTCGTCGTTGCGCATCAGCTCGTCGAGCCCGAGCAGCACGGCGTCCATGTTGTCCTCGGTGTTGTCTCGGTCGCGTCCGACAGCCATCGCCTTCACCCGCTGCAGCAGCCGCACGCGCAGGTACCGCTTCTTGTCCATCTAAAGGCGGGCGGAAGAACGGGAAAAATAGGGAGATGTCAGAAATAAACAATTTAATTGAATAGCAATGCTGCATATTTTCCTCCTCCGCCATCAAAACTCATTTTAACCAAAACCTATGCTGGAACTCACGAGTGCACTACAAGTTGAAAAACGAAGAAAATCAAAGCAGTGCGTAAGGCTTACTTTACGAGTGAAATTCCTTCCACAGCAATCAATAGCTCAATCACCCATCCCTCCTCACTATTTTTGCCCATCCCCGACACCCACCTCGTGCTCCCATTCGGTGTCGCGGTCGCAGAGGCAGCCGATAAACTTGTCCACAATCCTCCAGATGAGCTGGATCTGCTCCAAACTGGCGTCCGTCGCCTCAACGCTCGACTTCATCTCTGACAGTGACGCCGCCAGGAACTCCCGCTTCAGATTGTGGAGTAGACTGAACAGACTCTCCTTCTTGCTGATCCGCTCCTCTCGAGGCCGCTGAACGGGCTCGCACACGCCGCGGCTTTTGTGCGCCGTCAGCCGCGCTGCTGACAGGAAATGTCTCTGACACCGACTGCACTGGAAGGCAGCCGGAGCGGCGCCGGCCGGCGGCGGCTTGGGCGGTCCGGCGGCAGCGGGAGACGTCATCTCGCGGCGGGGCGGCCGCGCGGCCTCGGCGGCCTGCGGAGGCTCCTGGCCCGGCTCGGCGGCTCGGGACGAGGTGACGGGGTCGGTGGAGGAGACGGGCTCGTCGGCGGGGTACGGAGCCGTCTCGGCCGGGAGGTCGCCGTCGGTGGACGAGGTGACCTCCTGGGCTCCCGGGGACAGCTGCTCCGCGGCCGGCACAGACACCGGCGCCGGCACTGGGGCTGGGACGGCAGCAGGAGCCGCGGCCGACATCTCCTGGGTAATCTCATTCCCATCAGACATCTCCTGTTTAATCTCCTTCCCATCAACCGCTTGGCCGGTGACTGTCTCGCTCGGAGTCTGATCTGCCGGCTGTGCCAGGGCAGGCGGCGCCAGGACCGGCGCCGCCAGAGCCGGAGGAGCCAGGGTGGGCGGCGCCAGAGCCGGCGGGGTCAGAGCTGGCGGTTCCAGCTGTCTCTCCTCCTTCAGGGTCGGAGGCTCCAGAGGCGGAGGCTCCCGAAGCGGCGGCGACGGCTCCTTCAGCGTCGGCGGTTCCCGTGGCGAAAGGTCCTTCAAAGACAGCGGCTCGTCCGCGGGAGGCTCCACAGTGAGAGGTTCAGTCAGTGGTTTGGGTGATGGCTTCGGCAGTTTTTGCGAGTCCTTCGGTGATTTGGGTGATTTCGGTGACCCTTTCGGCGACTTTTGAGCGTCCTTGGGTGATTTAGGTGCTTCCTTAGGGGATTTCGGTGACTTGGGTGATTTTGGCGACTCCTTAGGTGACTTCTGGGTCTCCTTTTCCGGCTTCTGAGCGTCTTTCGCCGCCTTCTTTCCCTTCGGTGGCTTCCCTGGCTCTTTCGTGGCCTTCTCAGTCTCTGTCGCTGCCTTGGTCGCTTCTTTCGCAGCCTTCTTCGTGTCTTTTTGCGCCTTCTTTGACCCCTTCGCCGACTTCTGCGGCTTCCCTGCCGCCTTCTGCGTCTCCTCCTCCGTCCCCTGCTGCTCCTTCGCTGCCTCCTTGGTCTCCTGCGCGTCCACCTGAGACTCACCACCCGGTGTCCGGGCGCCCTCGGCCTCCCGGCAGCCGTCCACGTGCCGCTGCAGCTCGTCAGAGCTCGCCTGCGGTTTGGCGCAGAACGGGCACTCGAGCTCGCTCTCCGCCTGACTGGCCGCGTCCATCAGCGAGCGCAGACTGAAGTCAGCCAGATCGCAGCACTTCTGAATGTGCCGCTCCAGCGTGGACAGACGGTACAGCTTCTGGCAGCACTTCTTGCACGTGTACACGGTGCGGGTGCGGCCGGTGGTGAGGGAGACTGTGAACATGTCATCCCCAGCCTCTCGGGCGGCGCCAGAAGTACCCAGATCACTCCCCGCACGGGACTCGGCGCTCAGACGGCGGCTGCGCTTCCGGCCGTCACCGGTGTCACCGGAAGGAGCCCGCTTCCGGCTGCGTTCCGTCACTTCCGGTGACGCCGGTCGTGACGAGCGTGTCTCCATGGCGTCTGCTGCGGCCGGAGTGGGCGGAGTCTGCGCGTCCGCCGGAGGCGCCATTGAGTCGGCGGTCTCCACGGTCGGCTCGTCTTTCGGACTTTCAGAGGGTGGAGCGGCTGCCGCGTCCTGTTTTGCCTTCTTGGTGGAGCCTTTCTTGGTCGTCAATCGGTTACGCTTTGCGGGAGTCTTCTTAGGTGGAGCTTCCGCGTCGGTTTCTTTCGCATCGCCCGGTGTTGTCGCAGCCTGAGCAGCTTCCGTCTTTTCTTTGGTAGCAGCTTTCGACTTGCTTTTCTTCTGAGGAGTGTTGGTGTCCTTGGCCTCAGGGGCAGATTCAACTGCCTCTGTCGCTGCTTTCTCAGAATCATCTTTGTCCTTCTTCGCCTTCTTGGCTTTACCACCCTGAGGCGACTTGTCAGCAGCCTTCTTCTTGTTTCGTGCCGGAGTGTCTGCTGACTTCTTGGCCGTGGCCGCCGTCTTTTGAGGCGTTTTTGCAGCTTCCTGCGGAGTCTCAGTCTCGTCTTGCACTTCATCGAAGACTTGAGGCTCCTCCTTCACTTTCTCTCCCTCCTTGACATCTTTCTGTGCCGCGGTCGCTGCCTTCCCAGCCGCCTTACCCTTCCCAGGGCTCTGCTTGGCTCGTACCTTCGCTGGCGGTCCCGCCGGCCCATCACCCTTCCTCTTAGTAGTTTTGGGTGCAGTTGCTCCCTCTGGCTGCACGCGGCGACCCTTTTTGGCCGCCCCCGGCGTCTGTGCGGGCGCCGCGGAGGCCGCGGAGCTGACAGACGGCGCCGGACTGCTGCGCCGGGACCGCGGCACGGAAGGTGAGGGGCTCGGCGCCGGGCGCTTGGGTCGGCCGGCGCCGCGGCCGGTCCGCCCCGCGCCCGGCGCCGAGCGGGTGACCCGACCCGCCGCAGCGCGGCCCATCGACTGGGAGCGGGACGCAGCGCCGCTCCGGTCCCGAGCGGCCGGCCGGGGCAGGCTGGCACTCCGCTGAGCGCTCTTAGCCTTCGCCCCAGCCGCCACCGTCGCTTTAGCACCAGGCTTGGAATCAGTCTTTGCTCCGGCTTTGGCTCCAGATTTGAGATCTGGTTTGGCTTGAGTTTTCTTTGCTGGTGTATTTGCTTTTTTGCTCTTTGATTTGGTCGGAGTTGATTTTTTGGGTTTCTGCTCGTCGGCCGCTCCATCGGTTGACGGAACTGACGAGACAGCGACTGCATCCGCAGCGTCTGTATCGACGCTCGTCGCCTCCGCCGCCGCGTCCTCACCGTTCAGCTTGCCTTCACTAGCACTGAGATCAGAAGGCGTCGTTCCCTGAGTAATTGGCTCGGTGGTACCACTATCCGCCGACCCATCATCCATAGTCACTTTCACAGCGTCCGGCGCCGGCGCCTCGACCGTCCCGGCGTCATCCGACGGCGCGTCATCAGCGTCCGTCACCAGCGCGGCGGCCGCCGCTGCCGCCGCCGCCGCGGTCACAGCCGTCACCGCCATATCGTCCGACGACTCGACACTGTCCGCAGTGGAGCTGGCGTCCACAGACGGCGGCGCGGCCGGCTCCGTCTCACCCTCCACCTTCACAGTCACTGGCGCTTCCTCAGAGTTAGTCTCTCCCTTCTCTGCCTCTACGACAGTATCCACAGACTCTGACGGCGGTGAAGGCTGCGCGGAGTCGGCCGCCGCCGGCTCCTCCACCTCCGCCGTCCGGTCGGCGTCCGTCTGCGAGCCGCTTTCCCTGGGCGAGGCCGCCGCGCTCGGCAGCTCAGAGGGCGGCTCAGAGTCGGTCGGCGGCTCCGCCGAGGTCACTGACGTCGGCGTCGAGTCCGTGTCCGTCTCCAGCACCGGACTGGAGCGCCGGCTGCGCCGCGACCGTCCGCCGCCGCGCGACCCGCCCGCCGACTCTGGCGGCGGCGGGGGCGGCGGCGGGGGCGGCGGCGGGGGCGGCGGCGGCTCCTCGACTGAGGCAGCCAGGCGGCGCGAGGTGCGCACCGACAGGCCGCTCGGACCGGCCACCGCCTCCGGCTCACCGCCCGAGAACGGCTGCTTCTGCTGGCGCTTCTGCAGCTGCACCAGGTTCAGCATGGGGAACAGCTGCTTGGAGACCCGCTTGGCCGGCAGGTTGGCCAGCATCTTCTCGATGGTGTCAGCCGTGGTGTCTGAAACAGAGAAACAGAGAGCGGTCATGTCACAAGAGGTCGGAAAATGTTTGAGCAGACCGTGGGGTGATGACTAATAGGGAGACACAAAACCGTCACAAATGTCTGAATGCATGCCAACAAACAACATACGCGAGTGATATATAACACGCAACTGGGCATGTCATACATGGTGCGATGACATTTAGGGAATTATTTGACGTTTAGTGAGAGTATTTATCTACATGCAAGGGTGAAAATACTAGTCAAAACATGATCCATTACACAAGTCTATTACGGATTTACAGATTGGAAACGAGTCTACGCTCGCAGGGTTTGTTCGCTACGGTTCTAGCATTTGGCCCACCAGACAAAAAAAAAATCATTGTTCGCTATGATAATAGACTTTCCCATCCCAAAAGTGTCAACGTGCAAAACAAACTTCACTACACTCTCTCGCTACATGCATCGCTTCTCAACGGAAAGACTCAGAGCACTTAGCTCGACTCAAATAACCAATACTTGCCAGTTCAGCTAATCGACTGAGAAAGAAACATCCACCAACTAAATTACAATTCAAACTATTCGACTGACAAAACAAATAAAAAGGAAACTCGGCTCTACACGGTTTAACCAACGCATTTATTCTGTAGAAGCTACTGAGCTTACGCATTGTGATGCAGTCTCCAAACCTGTGCCGCAAAAGAGCTGGGCAAAGAGCAACAGAAAAAGAAAGAGCGGGGAGCCATGGAGAGAGGGGTGGGAGAAAGGCAGAGTTTGGAGGAGGCACACTGTACTCACTGCTGCGAAGCCGCATCGAGAACGCTGCAAAGTCCGGATATTCTCAGTCAAACTATCCAAATGTGTACGGCTGGGTGAGCCCAAGTACGGGTGGGCCTACTCTAGCCTAGTGTGTGTACATCGTGGTGTAACGATCAATGGATTGTAGCATGCAGTGCTTCTATGTGGTACCGTACATGACTAAATTAGTAAGGTAACTTACCTTGATGGTGTTAGCCAGCAAAGAGCGGTCAAGTGCACAAGCATCATTCATTCATTCGCTCAGATATTGTCATCAGATACACGCCACTCGTCCCTTATCTGCTCCATATCATCACATGACCACATCCATCTTTCTCAATGTCTTCATTCACAGCACACGCCCATTAATCCGAAACAACCCGACTGGCAGACCCCTCCACGCTCACACAAACAGACCCTCACACGGCCCACATCTCAACCCGCGCCCATACACACAGCTCATAACCCTCAGCTCACCCCATTCATCCTGTTCAACTCACCTCTGTTCTGTTTGGGCTTGGGCTGCTTCTCCCGCTTGGGTCGGCTCGGCGTGGTCAGGATCCGCTTCATTCCGCGCCGGCTCTGGAACCGGCGGCGGCGACGCGCGCCGAAACCGCGCCACTTGCGCTTCCTAGGCGTGGTCCACGTGTTCCAGTCCGCGTCGCCGGCGCACTCGAGGATGTGCCGGTGCAGCTCGGGCAGCGAGTTGCAGTTGCGGCCGCACGTGACACACTCGACGGGGAAGTCGAGGTTGTCCCGCTCGGCCGAAACACCGCTGACATACTGCCCGAACACGCTCTCGGAGAGCAGCTCCAGGTCGTCCGGTAGACTGGTGTGACCGCACAGCACGTGCGGGTGACGGTATGCCTTGTGGTCGTCCAGTTCGTACAGACTACCGAACACCGCACCGCAGGCGTGGCAGACGAAACACATGAGACGCTCCCACTCCCCGGTGAGACCCTCCTGTTCATCCGGCTCGCCCCCGACCGCTCCCTCAGACTCCGGGACTCCCTCAGTCTCCGGAGCTCCCTCAGTCTCCATGTTTTCTGTGACGGTCTCCGGTGTGTCTGCTGGTGGTTTGGGCACAGTTGGTTTCTCCTCCCCGCTCTCCTCTGCCGCCGGTTTCGTCTCGTCGCCTTCCGTCTCATTCTCCGTCGCCGGCGCGGGTGCAGTAGCCGCTGTTGGGGGCGGCGCAGACTTCTGCATAAGCCGCTCTCGCATGGCGCGGTAGCACGCAGCCGCCGGCGGCAGTTCGGGTGGCTCCTGTTTCACCACCGGCGGCGGCTGTGGAGCGGCCGGGAACAGACCGAGCGCGGCCAGCACGGGGTCGGCCGGCGGCGGCGGCGCGGCCGGAGCGGTGCCCGCCCGGCGGCCCCACAGGCCTGACGCCACGTCCAGACAGCGGGCGGCGCCGGGCTGCTCGGTGTCCGGAGCCATCTCGGCGTCCCCGACGGAGCGGCGGCGCGGCGGCAGGCGGCGCAGCACCTCCTCCGTGCCGTCCAGGTAGTTGGTGAGGTTGTCGGCCACGTTCTCCCGCACGCCGGCGTAGAAGAGCGACTCGTCGGCGGCACGCTGCCGCTCCACCTCGCCCTCGCCCTGCTCGCGGTGGCGGGCCACCAGCGCGTGCTCCTTCACGGGCACGGGCTTATGCGGGTGCGCCATCCGCATGTGACAGCACATGCGTTTGTAGGTGGGGAAGCTTTTGTCGCACACGTTGCAGGGGTACATGCAGCGCTCGCCGACCGGTTTATCCTCGAGGCGCTCCAGCGCCTCCAGGTCGTCCGACTCGAGACTGATGGTTCCGTTGCTCGTCTTGGCTACCTCCTTGCACGCCTCCTGGAACTTCTTCAGCTGCTGCAGGTTTCCGATACCAACGCTGATCTTGACACCGCCGAAGTTGATTTTGGCGATCGTCTGACCCGAGCCCGCCTCCGCCGGTCGCGCCTCACGGCTGTGGATCTTTTCGTGTCGTTTCTTGACCGATTCACACGGGAATACCTGATCACAGAACTTGCAGGCGAACGAGCTACACGCGTGCACCTCACGGTGCTTCTCCAGGTCCCGCTTCGTAGCGAAAGTCTCATCACACTTGTCACATTCGAGCCGTTTTCCGGGCGGCGCCTCACGCGTCTTGCCCGTGTGAGCGGCCGCGTGGTGTTCAACCACAGCTGGTAGGGAGTCGTATAGCGACCGGCACGGGTAGCAGCAGTAGAGGTACGGCCGCCGCGAGCCCACGGCCAGCTCGGTGGCCTCCTTGAAGCCGCTGGTGTCTGCGAGAGCAGTCAGCTCGGCGCTGGCCATGTCGCTCTCGTGGATGTACTTGTGGTTGATGTGTGTGCGGTAGTAGTGCCGTTTGAGACTATGCAGCCGCTGGTAGCTGGTCTGACAGATATCACAGACGAACTTGGGCCGGCCGTCCTCTCCGTTACGGATGTGAACCGCCTCGTCCACCTCGAAGCTGTAGAACGACTCGCTCTTCTTGGGGCGCGCCTGCGGGGAGGCCTGCTGCGGCGGCGGAGGGGATCCGGCCGCGGCGGACGGCGCCGGCGGCAGCGCCAGCAGCGCCGGCGGACCCGTGATGGCCTTGGTCGGCGAGCCCAGCCGGCCGGCCTGCACCGAGTACCCCTCGTCCTTGTTCTTTGTGATGCGCAGCGGAGGGATTTTCGGCATCGGGCTGACCTGAGAGCCGTCGGTGGCCGTCGAGACCGACGCCGAGCCACCCTCCTCGCGGCGGTGCTGCTTGTCTTTCTTCTTCTTGAAGAGGCTCGGACTACTCGAGCGCGAGTCCTCAGAAGAAGTCCTCAGTCGACCCGAGGACGAGGACTTCTTGTCGGACGAGTGAGATTTCTTGTCAGATTTGTGTTTGGAGCTGGACTTGCTCCCGTCTTTGGATTTGCTCGACGACTTGTGAGGCGTTGCAGTCTCTGTACCCACACTGCTATTTGAAATGCCTGAACTATTCGACTTCACCTCACTTGGTTTCTTCGTCTTAGAGTCACTCTTTTGCGGTGTAGCAGCCTTGTCGTCGACTGCTTTCGTCACTTTCACCGGCGACACATCACTAGCCTGTTTGGCTAAAACGCCACTAGAGGATTGGTCCTGACTCACAGGAGGGGGTTCTACACTTATTGTGGGAGGTGCGGGCATCTCCTCCACTGGCCGCTTTGGAGTCGGCTGAGTCAGTTTTGTCTCCTTGATCGGAGGAGCCACACCGTCCACAGGCGGCGCCAACCGCGACTCGGAATTGGGCCGGGCAGTCGCAAGTCCGTCTGCCTTCTTAGCCACATCACCAACCTTCTTCAAATCGGGCAGCTTCTTTACCGCCCCCTCTCCGACCTTCTTGACCGCGCCCTCCCCCACCTTCTTCCCAATCACCTCAGCACCTGCCTTCTTGGCTCCCGACTCTCCCGGGCCGGAAGCCGCGTCCAGTGGCGTTCTCTGCCGGTTGGCCAGCGTCTCGATCGGGCCGGAGACGGGCGGTCCCTCTGGCCGCCACGTGCGCGCCACCTCCACCGTCGTACACGGCGGCACGGGCACCCCGGGCTGCAGCGGGTGCAGCGGCGGCGGCGGCGCCGACGACCGGGCCGGCGCCGCGCCCGCTCCGGCCGCCCGCGGCTCGGCCGGCCGGATCGGGTGCAGTTTCGGCGGCGGCGGCCGCTTGCGTCCCGACTTGGACGCCTTGGTAACCAGTGTGATCTGCAGCTCCTTCGGCAGCTGGATGCCCATGGCGTGCGACACCTGGTCGGCGGTGGAGCGAGCCTCGGCCTCGGCCGCCTCCGCCTCGAACGAGGCCATCTCGAGCGCCTCTAGTTCGGCCATCTCCCGCATCTCCGCCTCCAGATCCTGTGCCGGGCCGGCCGACGAGCCGGCAGAGGACGGCGGTTTGGGCGGCGGCGGCGGCGACGGGGGCGGCGGCGGCAGCGGCGCCGTCGTTTTCGACGAGTGTGCCGGCGCCGGTGCGGGCGGCCGACGGCTGTGAGCCGGCATGCGCGGGCCGAACGACGACGGCGGCAGCTGGGACGACTGCGCGTGCGCCGGCGGCGGCGGCCGAGGGAAAAACATCTGTGGATGGGGCAGGCGGGGGCGTGTCACACGAGGCCTGTGTGACGATCGGAGACGGCGCTAGAACAGCGGTCAATTACGTTGAAGTTGCCACTCATGATAGGAATTTGAAAACAGTTTCAAAATTTATATTTACAATAACTCATCCTACGAGAAACTGTAACTATAAATGATATTGTAAGAGTTACATGTCATTTGTAGTCAGAGTCATCACATTTAACCGTAGCTATTGAGACCTTACTTTTCTCATACCATACAATCAGCATAACGGATGCGTCTTACTCACCGGTCCTCCGAAGGGCATTCTGGGGAATCTGGCCGCGGCGGCTGCCGGCAGCGGAGGGAACCCGGCGGCCGCCGCCGCCGCCAGCAACGCCGCCGGGAAGCCGGCCGCCCCGGGCGCGCCCGCCCCCGGCGGAAAGCCGCCCATGGCCGCCACGGCCGCCGCCGCCGCCGCCGAGGTGGGCGGAAAGCCCAGCGCGCCGCTGGAGACGGGCGGGAAGCCGCCGAGCGCGGCCGCCGCCGCCGCAGCCGCCGCCGGCGAGAAGCCGAGCGCCGCGGCGGCGGCGGCGGCCGACACGGGCGGGAAGGCGATGCCGCCGGCGGGCGACGGGCCGCCGGTGGAGGACGAGGTGGGCGGCAGCAGCCAGCCCAGCGGCGGCATCCCCGGGAACGGCAGGAACGGCACCGGCGGCGCCTGGCGCGGCGGCGGCGTGCGCCGGCCCGACCGGTCCATCTTGTGTGCGTGGTGCGGCATCGGCGCGGCCGCCTCTGGAACGCAGAGAGGGGCCAGGTTAGAGGTGGGAACGGGAGTTTCGAAGGGTGTACTGTAGCGGGTAGCCGCATCACGTCACGCGCGGGACCTGTGAGGGGCTGCGGCAAGTTGACTTATTCACGCGGCGCACCCAGGCGTCAAAGCATAAGAGTGCAGAAAGATTTGCAGTCACCTGCTAAAGGTTAACTGCATTGAAGCTACCTGCTAATATACCGTCAATATACATGAAATGCAAGGTGTGTGAAGATAGCATGCGGCCTCCATGCAGTCGTCTTTCTTCACGCTACGCTCGCCTGAACAAGCTGAAAGCCGAAATCCGTTTTTACATCCGCTGTATCAAAACACACCTTTGTGGCCACGTCCCAGCATAGGCGCTTGCACCTCTTATGTCCTTGTAGTTTCAACGCGAAACAAAAAATATTTGGATATGTTACTTCCTGTTCAAAACTTCATGAACGCGTTGGGACAACAAAACCACTAAACAACTGATCGCCATTCGCAGGCGAATTATAGCCGCGGAACGATGGGAAATTATCACACGGCTGGGGGCACATCCGAAGTGCGCAGAGAGCAGCAAAAACTGCGGCAAAACCGTCGTCGTTCGGAGGGACAGATGGTCGTTTCCTCCCGCGACGGATCGGGGACTCTGGGGACGCACCGTCTGCGGAAGGAGGAATGACAGCTCTGCCGGGGGAGGGGATGGGTGAGGCTGAGGGAAACTACGGCAGGCGCCGCGTGAATTGGTGCAAGATGACATGCAAAATGCTAGCAGAAACTGCCTTCCGTGGAACAACAGTATCGACAGATCATGCTTCTTTGACAGTCTAAATAAAAACTTAAGCATCGCTTTACCTTCGAGCTCGTATGAGCGACCTTCAACATCTCGTAAATTAAATTAAACCGTAACGCCTATCAACCTCGCTCTACACACCACACCGTATAAAACTAAACACAAACACACACGACGGGTCATGACGGGACGGAGGAAGCAGGCGACTAGCCGGTCTTGATAACAACAAAGGGCCCAGGCCGTGAATCACATCAGGAAACCGGCGCCGCTCGTCGCAGCGTGTGTAACTCGGAGTGAACACTGTACCGGGCCGGCGGCCGGCGAATGGCGACGATCAATAAGGGCGAGGAGACTGCCTCGCCCTGTCCGGATGGCGTAAATACGTGAGACCGTTCCGATCTCACGCATGCCTCGCCACCGGACAGACCTCTGCCTGCTAGGTAACGTGTGTGAACTATGTTAACTCGTGAAAAATCGCACATTTCGTCACTCAGTGCCGGTACAATGAGCCGGGCGCATTAACAACCACCAAACAATGGCTCGGAATGACAACAAACACCTGCTTGACGACTCTCTGGTGCTGGTTTGACCGTCCCACGAAGCGTCTGAGGAGGCCCAGTGCCGGCTGATTTAGGCAGCATCCAGCTTCGGACGCTGCATGCCAAGTACGCATAGGCACAGCGCGCGGCCATATTCTGGCCATGACGGCCTCCGTGAGCGGGTACAGAGCCAGGCCAGGCCCCGGCAGACAGGCAAAGGAAGACAAGACCCGGCTCAGCCTAAGTCAACCAGGCCCACCCAACCCGACGAGACCCGTACGTAACTTACCCAACTCTGAGCGACCCAGTCCAACCCGACTCGACCCCGACCTGACCCGACTCTACCAGACTTCGAACCGACTTGACCCGACCCAACTCTAGCCAACCCTGAACCGACCTGATCCTGACCCGACTCTAACAGACTCGAAACGGCCTGACCCTGAACCGGTCCTTTCCAGCCTGGGGTCTGGCTCACGGCGGACGGAGAATGCGCTTAGCGGGTTTGGTAACTGGCTGGTATACGCGGCGTCGAGTGCACCCCAGCTCTCGCATTGTCTCGCCATTCCAAACGACGCTGCCGCCGCGAGTGGCGCAAGTGGTTTCGACAAGGCTTGGGACGGGAATATTCATTCGTTATTAAAACGAGGCCCGACGGGGTCATTGTCGTATAGAGGATTAGCATGTTCAAGGGACTCCATCCAGTTAGCATATCCAAGGAGCAAAGCACTGATCGGGGGTGATACGTACCCGAAATAAGCGTTAGAATGTTTATGGTCCTAACAAATCCGACAATGGGTACAGCATGATAAGATCAAAAGGTAAGCTACCAGCCGGTATAAGGGAACATAACGTAAACATTTCCCCGACCGTCGAGCAGCAATTAAAATGTGAGCCTTAAAATAAGCATGCCTCTCATTTGTTTGGGGCACGAATTATGTAACTCATAACTACTTATGGGGCCCTAACAACCTATCAGAGCATGAGTTGCTGTTTGATAACCGCGCGGTCAGAAATTGGTGCAGGTATGTAGAGTAGCGGGGCGACCATAAACTCCCAACATTTGCTGTAACATTTATAAACAAAAAAGGCGAGCTGTCCTCATAAAGAATGATGATGGAATCTTTCGTATGAAGAAAAAAGTTGGTGAATGCTTCACTGCTTAGGTCCTCCAAATTATAAAGGGAGGTTCTTCAACTGTCAACACGACCCAACTCTACCCAAATTAAAAAAAAGCCTTTTCTTCTGAAGAGTTAGACTGCCAGGTAAGACAAGCGAGACTGGACCCAATAAACCTCGTTCGATAGAACTCAACCAAATAACACACCACACTGCACAAGAACGCAGCTGAGCACACCACCCAGCCTATACGCCAGCCAGGATTGCTGCCTACTATCCCCGGTCTTTCACCAGCCGTCAATGCGACTCGTCCCAGGACCGTATGTGTCGAACGACAACGGCTGGTGGCAGTCTCCGCCCTGACAGCCAGACCAGCACCGCGCCGCCGCGGGTCCGAGCAGGGTCCCGCCGAGCCGAGCCAGCCGGGCCGGCCAGCTAATCGGCCCACCGCTGCCCGCGATAGCACAGCGCCGCGCGCAGCCGGTGGGCGTCTTCAGCCAGCGGCCGGACGGGGGAGGTGACTCAGCGACGCCGGCGGCAGTAGAGGGGCCTAATGCAAGGAAGAGAGTGTCTGAGGTAGGAGATGGGTCTCCTGCACGGGAGGGGGTGTCTGAGGTAGGAAAGGGGTCTCCTGCACGGGAGAGGGCGTCTGCCGTGCCGATCCCTGTCCTCCGTGACCGGCAGGACAGGGGTGTTCTGCACGGAAGGGAGCGCTGGAGGAAGGAGAGGATCCTGTGCAAGGACGCCGAGAGCCGACCCTGTCCGTCAGAGTAGAGGGAGACGCCGACGGAGACCGACAGCGAGACGAAAATGCTGGAGCGAGAGAGTATTCAATGTGCTTGATTGGCACGGTATCCTATGGAGCGTGGGCATATAAGTATCGATCATAAAATCGGCCAATCCGAAACGAAAACACAATGAAAGCTGCCACTCGCACAGGCCACCCTTCGCCACCGGTCGGGAAGCTAGCCCAGACAGCAGTCACATAATCACCGGTGCTGGATCACTTAACGAGTATATAGCCAAACGGGTGCATGCGGCTTCAAGCCCGTCGCGCCGGGCCAGCCATACATTTCTCCGTCGGCTCTGTCCACGGGACAGCAGCCGGCATCAGAGGTCTGCGTGTCGCCCCCTATATCAGTCTCACCACGCCCTCTTGAGCACTTCAGAGAGGGACATCTTAGCAAGGGTTCGAGTGGGGCGACGGAGGGCCCCCCAGCCAATGTCACTTCGGAACCACGGACCACCGCTATAAAACCGGCCGAGTCAAACTCGACCTGAATTTACCTTGGATGCAGGATGATGATTGGGGTTCCAGAATGCCCCGGGGTCACAGGGAGGTTCCACGAGATAAGTTATTATCTTATCACTTTGGAGTATAGTCGAGGATAGCAACACAAGAGAATGCAATACGAATATATGGGGACCAATGAAATTGTGTATGTTATCTCGGAGACAAGTCACGACGCACCAGTTAGAAAACCGACGTAAGTCAAGAATGAATATACTTACTTTGTTGCTCTTTCAACTTCTTGGTTAGCGAAGAAGGCTCTCGAAATATTTCAGCAAAAATGCGGCGTGCGCCGAAAACGTCTACATACATACTTCGACCCCATATGTCGATAATTCCAACAAGAGCCGCCAGGCAGAACCGAAGGTCCATCGAGGAGCTCCGCTGTGATGCACTCTTAGCACAAATATTTGTTTAGCATCCAGCTTTCCGATCGTTAACTAACATTCAAATCCTCGACCGTTTATACTTTATAGGATGTTAAAACTGGAAAGTAAAAATAAATTACGAGCACTGGAGTGTCAAAGAAAATGCTCTTTTCACCAGCCAAAGCACTCGAGCAAAGAAGCAAAATTATTTTCGGTGCTTTCTTTTACGGTGCCAGTGGCACCGTATTGGTATTGCAATACCAATCGATCTATACAATAGTAAAATACTACAACGGGTTGGGAGTTGGACCCATCTTACATTAGACACGTCGAAGCACACTTCTCTCGTCGATTGGTGTAAATCAACGAGCGGCGCCCCCTGGGAGCCACCCTGGCCCACCCGAGTCCTGGGATCCCCCTGGCCCAGCCGAGTCCTGGGAGCCTGTTCCGGGCAATTAGGACGGGTTAAACAGGCGCGCCGAAGATCGATAGCGGATGGGGCGTAATCTGCAGCGGAAAATAGCTCGGTCGAAA